GTCTATAGAGAAATTAATAGTCGTTAGAATCTAATAATTTCTATAGAGCGTAGTCGATAGAGAACTAACGAAGTTAATTATCTACTTTTTAAAAAGTTAAGAGATTCGTTTAATCTACGAATATAGTTTTTTCTAGTTCTTCTTCTATCTCTAGACTAACTAGTATTAATTATAAATTCGAGCGTATATAAGAATATTCTTTATTATAAATAGCTACTATTTGCGTACCTTAATAAGACTTTCTATAGCGGCCGTACTATAATATTCGTAATACTTATAATAATACTCGATAAAATCTCGATAAAATAATATAGAAATAAAGAGAGTAAAGTAAGTATTAATCTTTCGAAATAGACGATCTTCTTCTACGAAGTATTAATCTAGATTCTTAATATATACTAGCTACTTCTTCTAGACTAGATTTAAATCGAATTTACTCTTCGTAATTAATTAAGCTATAATAATATTCTTCTATTCTATATCGTTATCTAAATATATAGTTTATTAGGCGTTTAGAGATACTTCTATACTACTAGAGATCTATACTTTATTAGTAGAGCTCTCTTCTAGAAAATCGAGTCGTCTAGAGATAGTATTAAGAATAATAGCTTTTAATCTCTTACGATATCGAATATCTAAGTCGAATTTAGAAAATTCGTCGATCTAGTATATAAGACGCTTCGAAGGTATTTAAGTAGTATTTAGATATTTTAAACTCTTATAATCGGTTACGATAATTATTTTATATCTATTCTAGAGATATATAATTTAGGTTCGAAGAGTATACTTAATAGTAAGAAGTTCCTTTTTATATATAGAGTAGTTTAACTTAGCTCTATTAAGTTTCTACTTATTATAGACGATTAAGTACTACTTTCTATTAAATTCTTCTTATAGAAGAATATAATCTAAAGTCTACTTAAAATAGTCTATTTCTACGCGAAAAGGCTTTAATTTATTAACTTATTATAAAACTAGCTTAGTAGCGAGAGTCTTCTTAAATATCTAGAAGACGTACTCGTATCTCGTATTCTATCGAATAGATCGGAACTTCCTTTTTCGAAGTTTAATATCCGCTTTAATTAATAAGTCGAATAAAGATATAGTAATCTTTATAAAGTTTTTAATAAATCTTTTATAGTATAAAGCTAAATCTAAAAACTAGCGTACTTTATATATATTTCGAGACTAAGGCTATTCGAGAATAGTCTATATCTTTATAGACGTAGATTAATACTTCCTATTATCTACTATATATTTATAGAATTTAAGCTATTAGACGCTAATAATATACTTCGATAGCTTTATATATAGTTTATAATTATATAATACTCGAAATACTAGTTTAAGATAGTATTTATAATCTTCTTTAATCTATAAGTAGATAATAATATTATTTAAGTAGATAATTACGAACTTACTAATAAATTCTTATAGAGCGTTATTTATAATTCTTTAGAATATCGAAGAAATATTAGTAAATCCGAACGATATAGCTAAGAACTTATACTTATTTAATCGCGTATTAAAGACGGTTTTTTCGATAGATATCTTTTCTATCTAGATCTAGTAATATTCTTAGATAAAGTCGGTTTTCGAGAGCTAGCGAGCGACTTCGATAGTATTAAGATAGTTCTAGATTCGGAGTAAAGAGTAGATATTCTTAATAATAATATTATTAAGAAGACGATAGTTAATATATATACGCTATTTATCTCTAGATTTAGGTATAAAGAGTATAGAGAAGCTCTATAAACTTTCTAAGAGTCGAATTAGATCTTATTCTAGTAAGATACGAATTTATTTATTTTATTTATCTTAATATTCTTTTAATAAAGAGTAGTAGAGTAAATTAATAAACTTAATATTATCTATATCGATTTCGTACTTAATATTCTGCTTCGTTAGAAACTTAGTAGATAGTTCTTCTC